AGTTTAATGTTTATCAGTACATTACAGAAAATAATGAACTTTATTACAATGTGCTAATTTTTTGAGAAGGACCTGTGTTTGGCTAAGATCCACAACTTCACTTCAAGATGGCTGCCAAAACAAATGAACACAAATATGACCACAACTCAGTCTGTTTTACTATGAGCTAAAGTGCTAACAGGCTGTGTGACATCTTTGGCATTAGCTGTTAGAGTCGACCCTGCATGTCTGTTAGCAAAATATTGTCTGACCCACTTGAGAGATTTTAATGAAACTCCAAGAAAGTTGGCGTTTTTCTTGTGGCTTCTCCTTTCTTCAGGGGTTGCCACAGCGAGCAAACTCGCAGGAAAGATTTGGCATTTTTCTTATGTCGGATACCCTTCCCATTCAACCTGGGCTCTAACCTGAAACTGCAGGAATGTGAGACAGTGGCACTGACCACTGATCTACTGCAACCCCGAGTTCTGAAATATTATCTAGGACTGAACCAAATAAACAGTCAAGACCAAGATGACCACAGCAGTTAAAACCAAGACTATAACTTAATAAATTTTACAGATATTGAGCTAAAATTTATTCAGGCTAGTTTTATTAATTGACTGATGAGGCTAACATTTTATAATGAACAAAAGTTAAAGAAAATGCACAGCCTTTATAAGCAGGGGAGGGGCAGGAAAGGGTTTATTGACTGAGCATCATAATAGAGAAGAGCAGAGAGATAGACAGGTGGAGAGACAATAAACTGAAAGACTAAAGCATGCATCATTTTAGCTCTGCGCAGCACATTAGCAGATTGGTGCCATTAGAGAGGCCTGCTTCCCAGCAAAGACTGTTGACAAACCGTATGTGTGGTGTGCTGTTTTAGAATGCCAAAATTTTGATAAATTCAAAGAGAGGTCAGAAATCCAACCTGGAGGCTCAGCGGTAAAAGGGATTTGGAAAATGCTTTTATGATAAGAAGGATAAAATACAAACATTTGTTTGATCACTATTTTAGAAATCACTAAAAACTTACAAACTAAGCATTAATGGTGCCATTTAATTAATACATGCTGTACAGGAAAAGTTTGGCCTTTTATTAAAGCAAAGAATTTTTTTTTTCTTCCTGTGGCAGAACCTGACACCAAACTACTGGGACTCAGCCTGGACAAATCTTATTTATTGTACATTCAAGCTGTCAGCAAACAGAAATTCAAAGACAACATTGAGAGTGGCTTTGTAAAATCCTTAAAGTGGTACAACAACTCATGGAAGAAAACCTGTTCAGTATGTTCATATATTCTATGGACAAAAGATGTAACTGACTAAAATAAGGCTTTATTTGTAGTCAATTATACTTATGAACAGATTTTCCAAGATGTGATCAGACAAGAGAAAGGAAAATTCAAGAACATTTGTCA